CAAAAATAATCAATATTTTAGAAGCTCAGTGGCCTCCGAGAACTCATACTTACAACTGTAAAGGGTGTCTCCCAATTGAATGTCAGTATTTATAAGGCGATTTTAGGGTCCATTTTAAGAAGATTGCTTCATATGAATGTATATCCTAAACGTTTTAACTTTTGAGACGCAGGGTGCTTAAGTTTTCAATATCGAAAGTCAGTGGCACTCCACTCCCTGTATCTTGAAACTTAAGACGTTTAGGAGATACGTTCATTTTGAGTTTTCTCCTTGAAACGGACAAAAAATAGCCCTCGAAAATTGTGACATTCAATTAGAATTACGTATACGTATCAACCGCGGTCTTGTGGTGTCAACGTTGCCACTTCTCGGACTGCTGAGATTTCTTATTTCATCGTTGAAACATTCTTATTAATAGGAATTATTACAAAGGTGTTGAGAGGTGGTCCTTCCTTGAGTCAGCTTTTATCACTTCTAAGGGAATTGATGCGACTCTACTTCGCAACATAGCCACGACGATGGAAACTTTATGCAAACATCCAAGTAAACCTTCTTAGAGAATCAATTGAATTCTTAAATATCTTCTCTCTAATTTATCCGTTTTGGAATTACCACGTTTTTCAAATGTTCCAGAACTGTTTTTGTTGACTACCATTCCCCAGAAATGCTTCTTGCCTCATAATTAGAGTTTCCAAGTCGTTGCGTAGCTATGACAGCTAACGTTGCTCAACTGTCTTACCAAACGTACTCACGTGAAGAAAACTGCTACCCACCCCTAACTAAGATCTGTGCGCTGATACTATAACGTACTTTCCCTCGACCCTCAGCCCTGACGATTACTGTCCTTCAACCCCATTTACGTGCCTGATGTGCATCCTGCTGATTTTATCGAAGGATAATTTTATTGTTTTTGCTATACTTTTTCTCTTAACAGTTTTTTAATTGACGTGACAGGAGGATCACGTGACGCGGAAACAGATATTATGTCTTGTTATGGGAAAGTTTGCCAAAATTATGGCGTTACATTTCACATTTTTATGATATTTTTTGGTAAAAGTGCAAGTAGCATACATATCTCAGAGGTTGCTTTGGCAATTAATCTTATAGAAGTTACAACTATTTGTTATATTGTGATTCTCATTCTGATATTATATACCTTATTGACGCCTAGAAGTAAATATTTTCTTTTGTCGCTCACTGGGATTCAAGGTTTTTAAGGATGAAAGAATGCATTGATTGGCAAAGGACAATTCAAATAGTTTTGGCACCGCAGAAGCAAATGTTGACAGAACATTTTATTCACAACACCGAAGTTGACGTTAAAATGCAACACTAATTCCCAAAAGCAGTACTGATGTGTAGGTACTAGATATAAATGTCTCAAAAATTATCCTGGCTATTATAATTTTTCTGGAAATCTTTTTAGGATAATTAAGTATAGTTTTCAGTAAGGCTTGAATGTGAGAAGTAGGATGATATTATTTCATTTTTTTGTAAATTACCGACAATACAAATTTACCTCTGAAATAATGATTTCCAATTTTCATATGTTAACTTTGGTATAGGTTCAAAAATGGAATTGAATGCTGAAATTACAATTTCAAGACGATATATTCAACAAACCCAAGAGAAATGCATATAAATTTGTTCTCAGTTTGACTAACTGCGCGTCAGGTAAGAAGCCGAGCAGTAGACACCCAATCCAAGCTTTCTGTTGAAGATCACAGCTCTGCTGTTTGCATAATTTCATTATTAGTATTAACTTAGAACTGATCTTTCCACCTTCAAGAAAAAGGGCCCATGAAACCAGCCAAAAAGTACAAGTAAAGGGCCAATTTTTACATCACTTGCTTTAATTCCTTGAACAAAAATCAAAACCACCCTCATCCAAAGTGGTCAAAACTCAGATCTCAGAGCATTTTTTGAATCAGACAAAAACGTGCATTATTAAAATATTTTGCAGTCATGACTAAATCATTTGTTTGTGAAAGTATAATCGTAAAGTGACTCTCGGTATGTTAGATATTGCTAAATGTCGAGAAATTGCCTGACCACTGGATTTTTTTTACTTACATCTAGAAGAAAATTTGCGAAGATTTGCGAAACCGGAATGCAGCATCAACTTTGAAGCTTCTGTATTTCGTAAGAGCTTTAGAACTATGGACACTTTTGCTCCTATGTGTTGAGTTTCAAAACATAGTCGGGGGCTATACAAATTCTGAGAGATCCTTACGAATCTTTTGTTAAGCAGGTTTTTGGATTCGATCGCGTTTAGTAAGAGTATGGTTTTGAGCAGATAAAACTGTTCATTAGAGAAAAAACACTTACACAGACTTGACACCTGTTGAAGAAATTTAATGGGTGACTGTGATGAGAAGGTTAAGCTTTCTCCAAGCTTAACCAGGCCTTGCATTTGAATTAAACGAAAACTAACCCTATTGTACAATTTTTGTGCTTCGACAACTGAAGTGCAATTTACGATACGAGGGATGTCTTTTAAGTTTTGCATATAGACACATAGTAGGCCGCGCGGATCGAACGTCAGTACTGAATCTTAACCTCACTCTTTAGTAAACTTAAATTCAAAGTTTCACAACAATACGCGCAGTGTTCTAAGTACAGTGAATTTGTAAGTGTCACCAAGTCATTAGAAAAATGAAGCTCAACAGAGACAATTATCGGAACAAGAATGGCTTGCTGAGTTACTGTCTGTTTTTGGCAACGAAGCGCCACATCGGTGGACAATTTTCCGTTGGTATGGAGAATTCAAACGTGACGGGTGACTCTTAGTGACGATTCCAGGGTGGGTGCACCAAAAACGGCAGTCATCCAGGAAAACGTCGATGCTGTGCGCAAACGCATCATTGAAGATAGACATGTGACATATCGCGAGATTGAGGCGTCCTTGAAGATCTCAAAGACCTCAATTAGTTTCTCGTTGGATACCTCACCTGTTGACTGAAGAGCAGAAAGCAGCCAGGGTTAATTGGTGTCAAAAAACGCTTGACCGTTTCAATTTCGGAAACTCAAAAAATGTGTACAACCTTGTTAGTGGTGATGAATCGTGAATTTACTGTTATGAACCAGAAAAGAAACGACAGTCGGCTGTTTGGGTGTTCCAAGGAGAAGAAAAGCCAACAAAAGTCATCCGTTCTCGAAGTGTTTCGAAAAAGATGCTCGTTACATTTATGCCAAAAGCGGGTCATATTGCAACAATTCCTCTTAATGAGCAAATAACTGTTACTGGGGATTGGTATACCACCATTTGTTTGCCAACAGCCATCACCGAGCATCGAAAAATCAGCCCCGAAAGAAGAATCATCCTCCACCAAGACAATGCAAGCTCGCACACAGCCCAAAAAACAAGGCAGTATTTAACGGAAGAAAACGTGGAATTATTGGACCATCCTCCATATAGTCCCGATCTAAGTCCTAACGATTTCTTTACTTTCCCGAAAATTAAAAAGAGACTGCGTGGTCAAAGGTTCCAGTCACCAGAAGAAGCAGTTGACGCATCCAAAGATGCTGTTTTGGATCTGCCAGCGAACGAGTGGAATAAGTGCTTCGTAAATTGGTTCGAGCGCATGCAGATGTGTCTTAATCTTCGTGGAGAATACTTCGAAAAACAATAAAGTCATTTAAAACTACCTACCATGTTGTTTTATTTCCATATGCAAAACTTAAAAGACATCCCTCGTATGCCTTTATCGCAGGCAGATAAAATTTGCAGGTATATTTTATCGAAAATCTAGTATTTTTTTGATAGACTGCAAAAGACGGCATAACAAATCACTTATTGACAACCTTGAAGGTTGAGGAGATAATAGAACTAATCAGCAAAAATTTAAGCAATTTTTTATTCGGACTTGAATGACATTTGTCTTCAAGACATCATAGCGCCCAAAAGTCATATTGCGCTATTACCAGAAAAATAAAATCACAGTCGTAGACCTGACAGTTTGATTGCACTCGCAAACTCAAATCGTTTTTTTTTCTAAAATTTCGCAAATGTAAAATGTCTCCTATATTATTGAATTTTGTATAATACATGTGGCGGTTATTTCATTAGGTATTGAGATCATATCATCTGGCTTTGTTCATCCACCAATTACTTCATACTAGTTATGTAACGAACGACAATTATTAGAGATTTGCGAGTGCGAATGCGGATATTCAGTTCTTTATATACCATATCGAAATACAGTCGAACGAGAAAATGCTGCGAAGCTTCACTGTATGAAGTTTAATATTTCTCTAGTTGAGTTTGATTATTTATTTGTTGCTTAAAAAATGGCGTCAAGTAGGTTGACTCTGCACTTCCCAAGCAACGTTGTCATCAGTTCATAAACGATTATGTTCGATACAAGCTAGTCCCTCTGAACTAACTACAAACATTTATAACAAAAACATTAAATGGATTTGATATCGCTAGCGCAAGTTTCTTCCCTGTTCTCAGTATCGATCATTTGGCAACGGTGCTGGACCTCACTAGCATAGTGAATAGTACCTCGAGAAAACCGGCTATGCAGTGTGGCGTCTATAAATATTTCTTCAAGATTTGAGGGGAAATGTACGGGGAGATAGGTGAGTAAAAGTAATGGGGTCCGAGTATATAAATATACTGCTGCCAAAAAAAGTTATTTTATACCCTTTCCCACCAATCCTCACAAAAAAACTTGCGAAAATAATAAGGAGCCTCTGAAACATCAGAAAATGAAGTTTGATATATTTTAATTTTTTTTGGTGTTTTGGCCCCTAATTACGCTACAACTCGACCGATTTTCAAAAACTACAAAGCTTTTGCGTCCCTGACATAGTTTACGAATGCAGATGCGAATATCAAGAAACGGGCGAATATTGGCGAATGTGAATATTCGTTACATCACTACTTAAGACCCTGTATACAAAAGCATGCAGTTTTTCGTATAGTACAAAAAAAAGATTTCTCCAGAAATCAATTTGCGTTGAAAAAGGAAATCGCAAGACTGGGAATAACTTACCAGAACAATTTCTCCGGCCCCGGCCGTCGTCCTTACTGCCCACCACCGCGGTCCTGCAACGCTAACACGCACGTGCTTACACGACTCCACTTGTCCTCGGTCCTTGGAAGTTGTCGCCCTGCGTGACGGCCGCGATGCACTGGCCATCCACTTCACCACGCACTTCACCGTTTCGGTGGCTGATGATACGCATTCGTGGAACCGTGGACACCGTCCTGGAGGGTGGTAATCGCCCATCCGAAGGCACCGCCCTCCGAGCACGCCCAACTGCTGCCAGCGCAGGTGCAGGACAAGGGCGCATCGTATGGTAGGTCCACGTGGAGGGCACTGGAAAAAAGTTAGACGAATCCTATAATTATGCGTTAAAAGTAATTTCGGGGTGCGGAAATGGTTCGACAAGTACCAGCAGAAATTTCTCTGGGAGAAGTTGCGGTGGAAGATGTAAGGTGCGCGCACATTGAAGGGAAGCGAAGTGACGGAACGCCACACTCTTCCGCTGGGTTCTTTCATAAATGTGGTTACTCTGGCTTTACTTCTTATGCCAATGAGATATTCTATTTTTTGAGAGTTACATCACAGGTATGTTTCCTGTCCTCCTGTCTGTTTGTTCGCTAATTTTTGAACCCCTCTATACCCCGAAAAGCACTTCTCAGATTCTGGGGGAACTTTGATGGTACCCGCAAGGATTTTCCTCGGGGGGCCAATCATCGCCAAAAAATAACTTTTTGTGAAAGTGCACCTGCCCCCAAAACCATTTGAAGAGCGGGAGGTAACAAATTTTCCCAGGGGGGAAGGGGTAGGCAAATCTGGAAAATCCTCAAAATTTTTATTTTTAAGGTCCAACCGGACGCTCAAGGGGCATGCCCTTCTTGGCCTTCCCCTGCAAACTACCATGGCTACCTTTGTGGGCTTAGAAAATTGTTCCATTGGCGGAGTCGTCCTTGCGAAAAAAAAATGACGTCAAGTAGGTTGACTTTGCACCTCCAGCGCAACGCCCTTATTAGTACACAAAGGAATATTTTGAGCATAAACTAGATCTTCTAAGAAAGAAGTTAGTCAAACAGGCCCATACACATTGTTTTCCTGCCCTACCGGTAGTGCATCTGGAAACGTCACCTCTCCGCAATACCTAACTCGGGCAGAAGTGTCACCGTGGGCGTGGTATTGCGGCCAGAGCATAGAAAACACTATGCTGTTGCGCGGCAGAAATACGTGTGGTTCCATAGCAGTACAGTCAATACGCGCGACGCCAGAAGCATCTGCGGCCGATCTCGAGAACATTTTTCGGGGCTAATGTACAAAAAAATGTATAATATGTGGAATATGTCCAATAGGTGCATAGAATAATCATTGTTGGGAGCGTATTAATGTGCCAGCATCAATAAATTGAGATAAATCCTCCCCACTCACTTGCATACCCCACTCACAAGTTTTTTTACCACTAAGATTTTTTTGAGCTATTTTTATTTTTTTCGTTTTGGGCCTTTTTATCTGCCACCACTGTACCAATTTTCAAAAGCTTTTGCGTCCTTGGCAAAGTAGTAACATTGTTTGAAAATTTCATCCAAATCCAAGCGGTACTTCTTAAATTATAGGCGGATATAAGATTAGAGGACAGACAGATGGAAATAAGTGATGTACATAATATCTCAATTTCGAAATTTTTTGCGATTACAATACTTTCCCGCCAGAGGGCGTGGATAGTAAAAAAATATCCGAAACTTTCGTTTTTGACGCTTTGGAGAGCCCTTGACCCGTGCTCATTTACATGATTATAAGGAGTTGATAATTTGGAGGTAGGGAGTTCTAAGGATGCGGAATGTAAATGTTGCACCTTTGGTATCAATGAAAGATGTTTCATTGTTAAGTAGCTTTTGATCGTAGAAACACTACGCTCCACCACGTAATAGTCATTCATATTTTCTACGTACATTTGCCGTTGAAACAGAGATTGAGATGTACCTAGATATTTACAATATATCGTACTTGAGAGACTCAGTCAACTTCAAATCCCACTTCAGTCTTTTGAATAGACTGTACGCATTTTTTACGAGATTTACTTGAACTTGAAAAATCGTACCAGAACCTTCCGCGTGAAGACGTGGGAATACTAGTAAGTATACACAGTCACGCTGCTTGAGGTCGTCTTTGGTGACAGTATGTACTTATGGCATCATCACAGCATGGCTTCACTTCATGCCATCAGAAAAGCTGCCCAACAATCATAGACAAATGTCCAAAATTGATAAGATCTTAATGGGTATGCGGGTGTCAAAGGTCAAACATATACAGGGTGCTTCACAACTTATCCGACAAATTTTAGCCACATACCTATGCATTGTTACGAATGAAGTTGATTTAGAAAAAAAAGAATGTAATAAAAGTCCTACGGAAATCGAGATAATAAAATAATACAGTTTAACAGTTCACTTGCTTATAAAAGCTGTTCAAAATTGTCTCCATTGACTGCAATGCAAGCTTGGGCGGCTAATCCAATTTCGGAGCACTAATTCAAATACACCTCCTTCCTGCTCAGCCTGAAGGCACAAATTATTGGCAGTCACTGTGATTCACTCACGCAGTTCTTCAATATTCTGAACTAGAGTACGGTATACCTCGTTTTTCAAGTATCCCCATAAAAAGAAGTCCAGAGGATTTAGATCGGGAGACCGTGGAGGCCATGTAATTGGTCCACTCCTTCCGATCCAGCGTATCGGAAATCGGTGTGTTCACGAAGCCCTGCTTCGCCGTACGCTAAAGCAATGTCCACTAACTCCTCATTAGTGTATACATGTGCCATTTCTATTAATAAATAACTAAAAGCATAAACTCGCAAAATATTATCTTATTTAACTTCACAAAAATCGGCCGTTCTTCATTCATATCACCCACGATACAGATTAAACTTTATTTACACGTTGTTATCAGTATGAAAAAACAAAAAATTCCTGGTACTTATTTCGTTTTCGTTTGGTACAACATTTGCTAAAATAATTTATTTTTGAAAACAGATAAATTTACGGCTTAGCCGATTGCTGTACCTACATTACCTGGGTTAATGTTTCACTTTTTCACATATTTGCAAGCATAGCTTGTAAATAACAAAATACAACTTCAGCAAAGATGGTACAGCCTCAAAAGTAGCGATTTTCTGAAAATTCCAAAAAATGCCGATAGTTCAGAAACCGTGCACAATCGGATACTGGCATATATGGTTCTTCTGATTGAAAATTACCTCCTTTCGTTTGAGCATGACTTTTGGATATCCTGTATAAATACCAAAGCGAGAGAAACAAAAAACACAAAGGCTCGCGCCTGGCGCGGGTTGCGGAAATTCCGTGATATTGGTGGTGCCATATAGCGATGCATCGGTTATTCAAACATTCAAACTAAATACAAACTATAACCGGCTCATTTTTTTGGAGTCGGTATCAAAACAACATAAAATCTTGGAAGATTATCTAGTCTTTCTTAAGGGCTTGACCATGTACTTCCCGCTCAACGCTGCCATCAGTTCGTAAACGATTACGCCTGGCCCAAGTTAGCCCTTCTGAGAAAAAAGTTAGCCACGAACATGTATAACAAGATATTAAATGACCTTTCTCCCCCCCCCCCCTGAGGCGAATTGCTACACGTGCACATTGTACGCATCCCACAGCAGTGAGGAAGCGATTGCCGTCTGTGACATACATATTATGACTACCGAAGACGACGCTTATCCATCCCGGGAACCACGTCGCACTTATCGAAATCCGACTGTAGGAAATATATCTAGGTTTTTAGAGCAAATGAACGGGTACATCTATGATGAGTGAAATATGCCTAACATGTTCATAGAATATCACTGGTGTTGAAGACGTATAAATATACCAAAGTCAAAAAATTGAGATATCTATACTGTCCTCCCCTAAACTCCAATTTTTAACCCCTAAAAAAATATTCCGATCATGATCATCCAAAATGTCAACAAACGAAGCTTGAGCGATTTTTATTTCTTTATTGGTTTCGACCTTTTTCTCTGCTGCCACTGAACCGATTTTCAAAAACTATCATCGAAATCCAAGCGGATCTTCTCAAGTTATAGGCGGTTATGAGATTAGCGGACACACAATTCGACGAAAATGAAATTTTTTGCGATTAAAAAAATCATTAATCATCACCTGTTCGGATCAACGCCGCCACTGCTCCTTGCTGACCGTTCCAAGCTTTGAAGTGCTATCCGCGTTTAGTGCCTGGTGCCTGGCACGTGCCGCCAATCGCCGGCTGGCGCCTACGGTTCATCGACCAATCACGAAGCGAAGAGATGGCACGCGCGGAAGCACCCTCGTGCTGTTGGTGAGTGGTGAGAGGCGAGAGATCCTCCGGATGCGCCCGGAGCAAGCAAGGACGACTAGCGACGGTTCACGATTATCATTAATGATATAATTCACTAATAACTTAGCTCTTGAAGTCATAGTGTTTTAACAAATGTATTCCTGACAGGGCAGAACACCGCACAATAAATACACATAACATTACATCGCAAACTAGTTTCTGGCTGATATAGATCGCATGAAGGAGGTGTGTTACACAGCTGAAACTACGTATATGTGCTAATGGATAATGAGTTATGTACACTTATGTATATGTAATATACCCTCTTCATCAAGTATGGTTTATTGTGTTTACATATAGTACATCCTTCATGGCATTGCTATTTCTCTTAATGTAGGTGCGAAAGTGAAAGGAGTCGGTGCAAAAGATGAGCCAACTCATACCCCCCTCATCCACTATAATAACGCATAACTCATTTTGTTCAAAAATGTCACATAGCTCCTTCACCCACTCACCCCTGCATTTGTTTCATAACCTTGGTTTAAAACTGAGTGTTCTGCAGAAGCTCATGTGATTCATTTTGTCATAATGAAAACTCCTCTATCAAGTCCATGGATCAGGATAATGCGCAGTCCAGGTTCCTAAGTATATTATGACATCAAATGTACTATAAATAAATTTGTACTGTAAATATATTATATAATATTTGTACTGTAGATATATAGTCTTTCCCTGCCCTACGGGTAGTGCATCTAACAACGTCGCCTCTCCCCTTTACCAAAATCGAGCAGACGTGGCACCGTGGAAGCGCGGTGAGAACACAGAAAACGATATGCTGTTGCGCGGCAGAAATACGTGTGATTTCGTACTAGAACACTCATCACAGCAGACGCCAGCAGCGGCCGATGGATACGCGATCTGCCTTCCGAGATTATTTTTCTGTTTTCATGGCTAATGTACAGAGGAATCTATGATGAGTGACATATGTCAAATAGGTGCGTGAAATTACCAATGTTGGGAGCATATAAATTTACCAGCATACAAAAATTGAAATAAACCTTCCCCACCGCTTACAACACACACCCCTAAGTTTTTTTACTCTGAATTTTTTTCAAAAATGACCAGAATGCTCGGAAACGTCGAAAAACGAAATTGTCAGCGATTTTTAGCTTTTTCGCTTTTAGGCCTTTTTCTCTGCAGCCACTGGACCGATTTTCAAAAACAAAATATGAAACTTGGAGTTCCAAATCTCTGCTTTCATTGATAGAGTATGGACATTACTTTTCTACCTACGAGCAAAACATAAGCGGTCACCTTGCCCTTGACTCATACGCGAGCTCAATTTAGCTTTCCATACCTCTTCATTACAGATTTGCGGTAAGGCAACACATAGATCCGCAATGAGTCTTACAAAGAACGATCAAATAAAAGGTATCACAAAAAATAGTATGACATTTGTTGAAAGAAATGCATTATGTCTCGCAAGTAAAGACAAAATAAGGTCCAATATGTAAAATAAGTCACAAACTAGACATGGTCACACATGCTATAAGCAAAATTATGGAAATATGAATACCTGGAATGCACAGTTGATCTGCTCGACATAGGTAAGTGCTCAGATAATAATATAATTAACATTCAAATAATCATAAAATATAACAATAGAGATGAGAAGCGTGTAAAATGGTAATTCATGGTAGGCTAAGCATCTACATTTTTAACACAATGATTTCACTCACTGTCAGAATATGATGTCATCGAAAACGAAGAACACTATTTCACGATTGGGTGTTTAAATTTCAGATCATTAACTAGCTCGCTCCTTGATACCAGAGAGTACATACGAGGGCGGTTCAATAAGTACCCGTGTTAGAAATAAAGGCACCATTTTTTCCAAAAAAATTATTTTTATTTTTTAACATAATCCTTTTTTAGAAAGATACGCTTTTCCCAACGTCCCTGCCATTTTTTAACCCCCCAAAAAATAGGATTTGTCGAACTCTCCAAAATACGCCTGTCTCGGCGATGACTTCCTCGTTTGAGCTAAATGTTTTCCCCGCGAGCCGTTTCTTCATGTCAGGGAACAAGAAAAAGTCGCAGGTTCCAGATCGGGTGAATATGAGGGGGGGGGGTAGTTGCGGAAGCATTTCATAACGCAATTCATGCGGCAACAACTCTGGATGAATGTGCTGGTGCGTTATGGTGGTGAAACAGCACCTCCTTTTTCGTCAAATGTGGCCGTGTCCCCTTCAATTTTCTGTCGAAGCGGTCCAATAACTCACTATAGTATTGTCCAGTGATCGTTCTTCCTTTTTCTAAAAAATACACGCGGTTCGCATCCCAAAAAATCGTCGGCATGACCTTTCCGGCCGATGGGACCGTCTTCGCCTCCTTTGTAGCAGATTCACCTGAAGAAATCTATTGTTTTGATTGTTGCTTAGTTTCTGATGTGTTAAGATGAATCCAGGTTTCATCGACGGTGACAACTCGACGAAAAAACTCCTTCGGATTTCGCTTAAATTGCTCCAAACAGTGCTTCGAAGTTAACAGCCGCATCCGCTTGTGTCCCACCGTGAGCAATCGCAGCATCGATCGGGCCGGCAATTTTTTCATAGCCAACTTATCATGTAAAATATTGATTGCCGTTCCGGTCGGCACACCTACGGCCTCTACTACTTCGCACACTTTCGTTTGTCGATCAGCGAGAATCATGTCGAGGACTTTTTGAATGATTTCCTCGGTAACCACGTCTGCCGGGCGTCCTGGTCGATCCTCATCAAAAACGGATGTTCGCCCACGTTTAAATCCGTTTTACCAATATCCAATTGTGATCATAGATGGCGAAGTGTCCCCATAAACAGCATAGAACTTTGCTTTTATCTTCTCGCATTTTTTCCCATCAAAAAACGAAAA